CTCTCTCTCTCTCTCTCTCTCTCTCTCTCTCTCTCTCTCTCTCTCTCGCGCTCTCTCTCTCCATTTGTTGTTCTCAATATTATGGCGTAAGTTTAAACGTAGTGGAATCGGAGACATTTCAAAATAAAATAAAAAAAGAAAGAAAGAAGAAAGGAAAAGCGGCGTGGGAATTTTAAAAAGAAAACGAGATGTCGAGGGTGGAGGAGGAGGGGAAAAGGAAGTTTGGATGGATGGAGAAGGACAAACATGTACTTTTTTTTGAAAGAAAAAGCTGCATCTTTATTTTCCTGAAGTGACTGAAGGTGACTCTTCTGTTCCTGTTTTCACGTCTTTCAAATTAAAAGTGTTTATCATGATTACTTCATGTGCGTGTGGGGTGGAAACTTTAAACATGCATGCTCATGGTAGCGCCACTTTCCTTATTTTATTTTTTATTTTTTTTGGTCTCAGAGAAGGTTCGCTTGTTTGTCCCATGAGTGTAATTTTGGACGTTTTTTTTTTCTTTTCTTTTTTTTAAAGAAGTGTCCAGGCACACCTTGGACCAATGAAAGGAGAAAACAAAAAAGTTTGTATAGGGCTGTAGGGTGGACAAAAAACCTACGGAAGAAGAATCGACTTTACTTTTTACTGGAAGAAGAAAAACGTTTCTTGTAACTGCAGTGGACTCGGATTGCTCGTCCTCCACGACTTTAACGCTCCGTTTTAGAGAATCCGTGTGTAAATAGAAGCAAAATGCATATTTAATCAGCGGCGATGTTATTCTCTTATTCCCCTTTATTCCGTGGGGATGACTTGGGCTCCTCTTCAGCTTCATTTCATGCTCAACGACAGATGTTTTGATGTCTCTTTGTTTGTTTTTTGTTTTTTTCTTGTGTTTTTTTTTCTTTCCGTATTTGTATCGCTCGATTGTATGGACAAGTTATTGTATTGTTACTGTTGCACAGTATAAAACATCTAAATAAAACATTTTACACTTACTGGCAAAGTCACTTCGATTTTTTTTCTTTCTCCTCTTGAATTTTGGGAGATCATCGATCAGTTTGATGGGTGTAAAATGAAAAAGTCGAACAGAGCGCCAGATGTCAGTCTGAATGAGCAGGATTTAGTATGACTCGGTTAGAGAGGCAGGCTCTGCACAGCAAGGACGTGGAGGAGAACTGGCTGGTAAAGAGACAAACCACTGTTTATTCGTTCAGACCTAATTTTGATTTGTTTAACAAGTGGCCTGATTAGACTTCACCGATTTAATCAAAGTATAATTTAAAATGTGCAATTATACAAAAACTACGCTAAAATTGATGTTTTTCTCTCTGTGATAAGTTATTTTTTTGTTTCATTATTGTTATTATTATTTTATTTAGTTTTGCGTTACGCGGGTATTTTATGGTTTATATATATATATATATATATATATATATACT